AAAAGGTCCTTAGTTGTACTTTGATAAGATTACATTTAAGTTATAATAGCTACCTTTGTGGTGTTTTCTTCATTTAAGATGATGTTTATGCTCCTGAGGTATTTACCTTAAAAGAAAAGAAGTGTAACACGCCATTGTTTTAGAGTTTTTTTATTCAAGGAATATCATAGGTATGTATCATCCACGGGTAGCAGCATTCACCGATTCTTTCCAAGCTTCGAGCGCCTCTTCTTTCGATATAAACCCCCAAAAAATTTATCGACATTTTCTTTACTCCTGTTTTGATCCGCATAGCCATTCAGTTAAATTTGATTACTGAAAGCCTCCTTAAAGGGGAGGTGTGTGGGGAAGGGGGAATGAACAATAGGGGCGAGGTGAGGACGCAATAGGGGGGAAGTAAACAAAAGTTTTCTGTAGATAACTCTAAATTGGTGATGTATTGCCGGCGGATGCTTAATTTGGTATTATCAACTGAGTTGATACCGTAGATTGGCCTCCGTAAAGAGTTACAAAGCTGACGTTTCGAGCGTTAGTCCTCTGTCCGAGCTAACCCTCGACACGTCAACTTCGTAACACTTTACGGTAAAAAAATTTACTTTATCAACCTGATTATCATACAAATGTGTCAGCCATCCAGTATGCGACACGAATTGTACACGTAACGTAAATATCTTAAAGTTAAAGGCTTCTGTATTTTCTGTTGAACAGAGGTCAATTTAATTTCGCTTGTGTATTCAGATTTCAAGCTTTCTCTATTCTCTTTCATAACTTAGACACATTTGTTTCAAAATTAGTCTCATTTGAGGGTACCCTGTTTGCAGTTTATACATCAATGAGATCACGTGTCATGAACATTCTATTTCATCATATTTCAATTTGTTCATTTACTGAATATTCTCTTCAATGCTTGCTCGATTTGTTTTTTACGGAAGTAATTCGTTTAAGTTCTCTATTTTTCCCGATCGGAAGACAAACCTTTGCATCAAATTCAGTGTCATAAAAAATGCTGGTGAATCCGTCTGCCTCAGCTGACAACCGTATCGACTCTCTGATTGAATTTGTTGTTGAATATATGATATGTGCAGCTAGCGAGCTACAAACCCGATTACTAAGATATAACATCGCCATCTTGTGTACTGACAGGAGGAACCACGATAGGGTTTCGCTAGACCAAGTATCACCAACACATCTTCTTCATCAGCAACAGCCGGAAGCTCGTCGTTGATCGCAGTGATCCGGAAACTAAATGGCTTTTGACGTCCGTCTTCGATTATTTCGCATCTTTGTTGGCTTTGATCGGTGTTATACAGTGTATTCAAGTTTTTTCTTTTGCATCTATAAATACCAACAGACGGGCAACGAGTATGTTCGTGAAAGTACTCGCCGTTAAAATCCTCCATGTTGCCAAACACATCTTTAACAGTCTGATGACTAAAGTCGACGAGAATGTCGAACAGCATTCCGACATGAAAGTCTCCTGCCGCCTGAAGGTAACTTACAAATACATTATCCTGCTGATGAGGATGTGAGATTTGTAGAGGATCGCGGCTTTTTTCGAAAAGGTGTTCCTCTCCGATCTGAAGTTCGGGGTCTTTAGGAAGCCAAGTGGAAGTACTTTTCCGTAACGCAGGCCTAATAAATTTACCCTGCTCAATATCTAAACCGATGTAACAAACTCCATTGCTCCTCTTTGCTTTGACGATGATTAGCAACTTCAATAAATTCTTGGACATTCTCAGAGGAGCACTCTAGCGACATTGTCAGGGCTATACAGTCTCGATTTTCGATTAGAATCACCCAGACCGAATTTTCCTTTATTTACTTACCGACGCGTATCAAGCTATGGAAGTGAAGGCGACAGCTGACAATATTACAAACGGCAACGTCATCGGTTTGTTATTGAAACTGAAAAAAAAAAAAAAAATGAATACTTAATGGAGGGTCTCAGCGGTGTGATGGCTTTTACGGCTAACGGTTGAAATTCCGGCCATTTTACGCCAATGATCGCGATTAAACAAAAAATCATACGCTTTATTTTTCTTTTCGCGACAAACGGTTAAAATTGGTCAATTTTGCTCCTAACCATTGCTTATCACGCCACGGTGATTGGGTTTGCGTGATGAATTAGTCACAGTAAAAGAAGATACCGGCATTCATTCACTTTCTTGTCGCTGGGCGTGAACCTTATGGCGTAACATACGCTATAGAACCTTGACAAATGGTAGCAGAAAAATATCAAAATAAATAATAGAAAGATAAAGAAAACTTACAAAAATTTGAATTGGTTTGGGGTTTAGAGAGCTGATCATGAGTTCTTTTTACACGCTGACTGAGCATAATGCGGTATGCACCGCTTCAAGCTAAATGTGAGAAAGACCTGGTCCGTACGGGGGGGTTCTTGGGGGTTACATTTTGCTGGGTGTGTGCCGCTGGCTTTTTACAACCCCTACCACTAAAATATTCTGTGGCAAATCATAGACCCCATCTTGATCACTTTTGGTATACCGTTGACAACTTTTTTTATATCGAACCTTCCCATTTTCAAATCCCTACTTACTTACGCTTCGCGAAAATGTGCGATCGCATTCTGGTAATTCTGTTGAAAATGCAACCCCAATCAACCCAGCCGTGAATATGCGACTCCTTTTAGCGGCACATTTCATTAGCCCATTACCGGAATGTGCCCTCTCCTCATCCACGGAGGATGGAAAATTTCTCCATGGGAAGAGAGCTAGCCCGTTAAATTTATGGTTTTTAAAAGTTTCAAGGGACGAAGACCACAAGAGAGGTTTATTGAGTGCCTAAACTCGCCAGGCAGGCTTTATCTTTTATGCCGATGTGCAAACCTATTTTAAACACACCGCTGTTCAAGGGACCCTAATTCTTATTTTGCTGCCGGAACCCATTTCCAGTCTTTCCCGGTATTCTGCTTAAGCGGAAGTGCCTTGTGGTAATTTGGTTGCTTCGTTTGCTTTCCGTCAATCTCTGTGCATAAGAGTAGGCGATTCTGTCTTCTTCATCCTCTCGACTTCCTTTCTGAAGAAACCAAACGACTCCATGACAGACAAAGAGATGTACTTCGCTTTCGGTTCGAACATGAACCCAGACCGTATGCGGGATCGTAAAGCCTTCTTCACCGCTCGAGTTGGAGCTAAATTGCTCGACTACAAGATGACTTTCTCTTTTAGGAGACCGGATGGGGGTGGCTCTTGTAACATTAGACCAGAGAAAGATTCAGTGGTTCATGGAGTTTTGTACACTCTTGACGCGGGAGGGTTAGATAAACTGGATGTTTTTGAAAAAGTCTCAGATGGATGGTATCGTCGAGAACGAGTGACAGTTGAGAATTCTGCGGGCGAAAAAGTGAACGCGACAACTTATATTGTAACAGAGCAGTTTTATCAAGAGGGATTAGTTCCATACAGAGATTACTTAGAACATTGCTTGGCTGGCAAGGATGTTTTGCCGGCAGAATACTACAATTTCTTAGAATCATTTAAGAAAGTCTGCAAGGAATAACAACATGGAACACTAGAAATTGGGACCCTGATAGCGTTTTCACCTTTTAACTTATTCTTGTGAAATGAAATTTGTGTTTCATAGACTGCGTGGGATGTTTTGATGTTAAGAATACGATTTTTATTGAAATGAAATAAGGTAGGAAAGGAAGAAAATTATTTTATCTCTGGTCTCCATCATTGCCGTGGAAGACCTTTGTTTATATTTTTATGTCAATTATTCATTTTGCCTATGATAGCAGTGAAGCAGGTGGTTGGCATGGGTTGGGTTAAAAAACGATAGGTTTGAGAAAACATCACATTTTTTGTTATTAGGGTTGGATAAAATAAAGTTTCCTTTTTTCCGTCATGAATGCAGGGTATTTAAGATAATTCCTTTAGTGTCACATGAATGATCAGGATATTTTAAGGGTTTGATAGATCACACTCGTGGCTTAAAATAACTTTCAAGTTAAAACATTGTATAACCACCTTGCCACATTTGGAAATACTTACGGTGTTGTTTCCTGTCCAAATAATCCAACAACAATTCATCTTACAATAAATTTGAAAACTATCAAGAATTGTTCCTTAAAACTTTTTATTTCTAGTCAGCTTTAAATGTGTCAAATGAACATTTTAAAGCAAATTTGATTGCATGTATCATTATAACTCAGTGGAAGAGGTGACTGATTATGAAAGCTGGCAAAAAATACCATAAGGAAGCAGTGTTGCTGCTGTGTATGTTGGGATCTCTGTGACTGTCCACAAAATTGTATTTTTTTATCATTTTCAATGATTGAATTAAATGGAATTTTATTTTGGTCATATAGTTCAATGCAAATGGAGTAATTTTGAACAATAAGCATGGTCAGGTTTGATAAGATCCTCACAATAACATACTTACTCTCAGAAGTGATTAACATGTTACTTCTCCCTTTGATATTGATACATTACCCAGCAAACAGTTAAAGAGAATACTCCGACTTATCAGGCAGAGGCTGTTTTCTTGATCTAACAACAAATTCTTTTTTCATTTGAAAAGGTAATGTTTAACTGCCAGAAGGGAGAATTCACAATCAGATCTTGGGGAGTAAACTAAAGAGCAGGTGGGAATTATCCTCAAGAACGTAAATTATTACTCTTTCTTTATTGGGGCCTCAGAGAATCAAACTGGTACATGTATGATAAGTGTTGTTTGGATGGATCATCAACTGCCACAGGATAACACTGATTAGTTTACTAGAACAGTGGATAGTATTGAAGGTGCATGCTTTGCTATTAACCTTCTAATAACTCCCCAGTGATTTGCACTGATAAATATTTTAATTGTTGCAGGAATAAATGAGTTAAAATCATCTTTTTTTGCTATGTTATCTTGCTGTTTTAGTGCATACTAAACCAACTTTTCATCTCATTGTGGGTGGCAACCTGTGGATTTTAATTACTGGGCAGCTTTGTGGCTTGGTTGACATCTTCCACAAGCCACCTCCATTTTGGTGAATTTTAATTATTCTTAAGTCATGCTGGTCACCACAGCACTTGAGAAAATCAAGGAGTTATTAAATGTCTGACTGGGTTTTAAGGAGTCCTCAACCCATTACCATCATAATTATGACCACTTAGGGATTAGCTGATACTTTGTGGAAAGACTGAATGAGTTTTGATGCTTTCTGTGTTTCTCCGCACAAAAAAAAAATGATCCTATTGTTAAAAATTGTACACAAAGTAAACATGTTAATAACATTTCCTGATGTTTTCTCACTTATGGGATACCTCTAAAATACCTGATAAGTCCATCTTTTTTATAACAGACCTCACAGCAGAGGATTCAATAAGTTTTTAAGAAAAATGCAAAAACTTCAAAGTCAGCAACTTGTGGAAGTTTGATCCTTACTCTCATGTTGTTAACCCTTTCACTCCCATGAGTGATCAAAACAGAATTTCTCATCACAATATCACTATAAACTCAAGCAGACAAGTGAGGAGAATAAAGAAAAATATCAATGAGGGGATTATCAGTTGATCTAATGGCAAGTTCTCCAAACTAACATGATAGGAATTGTATTGAAGACAGTAATGAGAATTACAAATGGTAGTAAAAGGGCTAACAGAAAATAGGAAGCAATTTGGCCTGAAATACAGAACAGCTCAGCAGCTTTAAATGAAACCCCTGCTATAATGACTAAGCATCGCATAGTGTCACATAAATTGTGAACTTACCCTGTTTTAGACTTTCCTGTGCATCAATGAGTAAATATGATTCATTTTTGTCAAAAATTGCAGTCAGATCGGGTGCATTACAATTCACACTCATCTCTTCCCCACAGACAACCAAGTCTATTTTAAACCATTACACCCTAACATCAGTATCCAAGTTCTGCATACTGTTCTCCATACATTTTTGGGGGTACTGACAAGGAGAATTTGTCTTACAATCAAGAGTTTCTTTAGTTTCTTGGTATTTCCTTTTTTTCTCATGATCCTAATGTTTGATTCAGGAGTAATGCTGTTGGGAGAAATAAGAGGCTTATCACTATTAGGGATTTCAGTGTTGAACTTTTCAACTTTTGAGTTTGTAATGGGCTGTGAGGTCATCCTTTCAAAACTATTTTGAAATCTGAAGGACCCAAAATAGTATTTTCAACCTTCTCCAAGAGATGTTATATGACAAAAAGTTTCAAACAGTTTTTGTATAAGGTTGTACATCTGGCTTTTTTAATTATTTTTGTTTTCTTTTTAATGCTCTTCTATTCTTCATATGTACCTCATACAAAGACAAAATTAAATGTAATCCCTGGCAAAAGCCCCTCCTTCCGCCCCCTCTCCCCCTCCCTCCAGCTCTGACAGTCCCTGCTCCTCCCCTTCTCATTTTTTGATGGGAACGGAAAACAAGTTTACATTCAGTCCTGAGGTGAGAAATCAAACACAGCAAGAAACACTGATAACGATTTAATTAAACAAATTATTGTTTGCAATACTTTCCAGGAATGGTGACATACACCTGGCAAACCTCAACTACCTTAGAAAAAAAAATCAGCTCGCATTTTCCTCCATCACTACTTCCAGTTCTTGAAATGGAACCAGTCTTTTCACGTCTTTATCATTTCTTACTATAGTGTTCGGTAACTTTCTTATTTTCTTAACATTTTTAGCTTCAATGCCTAGCTCTTGGCAGCAAACTGACACAAGAAATTGAAATGTCAGGCTACTTTTGTCAAGGTCAACTTCTATAAAGTCTTCCTCTTCTGAATCGGCAACTCGCAACTTTATGACAATTTCCTTTTCAGAATTTTCAGCACAACAATTTGAATTACCCGAAGCGTTTGCATCTGTCGAAGATTCGTGGTTCCACGTATTTGAAATAGTAATCCCTTGCTGTCTAAATCTGGAATCCTCATTCCTAGAATTGTCTTTTTCGGCGTAGAAAAACTCCGGATTTCGAAGATAGTTCGGCACGATAGGTAAAGACTCACTGGCTTGGCTTGATTCGGTACCATCACCTTCTCCAAGCAGTTTTTTTATTCCACCGTCACTGGAAAGTTTAGCAGCAGTTTCCCCCTTATGTGTGAGCGCTGCCGAATCAACTCCTTCCTGAATGAGGTATTTCACAATACTCAAATGCCCTCTTTTCGCTGCCCAATGTAGAGGCGTCCATCCGTTCATCGCGTTCGCAGCATTTATGTTGACACCTCTCTGGACGAGTGCTTTTACATTTATTTCGTCGCCAATGCAGCATAATTCACGCAATCTTTCTTCCAAATTCATCTTGGCTTCCATTGCTGTTGAGCTTTTGCGCCGCGTTAGTACAAATTTTTTGATTGGTTCATTAATCTCTGCCCGACTTGGAACACAACTGTCCAATCACACAGTGCGATATTTAGCTTTTTATAGGTTATCCGCTGAGTGGCACGTGCTTGTTCGTGGTCGTATAAACAACATGGCGGCTCGGAGGCAGAAAGCGGGAACAGTCTCATCAAGTTTGGAAGCCACTTCCGACTCCACAAGCCATGTAGATGTTGATCTGTAAGCAGTTTTGGGTTTTGATGTTTATTATTCTCTCGTTTCGCACGCTGATCTTAATCTTCAGCGGTAACGTTGTTACGATTACTGATTTGAGACCAAACTCTTTGGGTATCGATTTCCACCAGTGCCTTGACGTCGAGGAAATCAACCTCGTTTCCTTCTCTCCTGAAATGCAAATCATTTTACAAAGTAGATTTTAGGATTTAAATATGTAGGTGCGAATCAAAACAGAGCCTAAAGGGATATCACCAACTTCCCAGGTGCTGTCGCCAAGTTTCTTGGGATAAACTCTTAAGCTGCATTACTATCAGCGCCAGAAACAGGCTTAGGCACATGGACTAAGGGCCGAGGAAGTTTGGACTAATTCAAGCATTTCTGTCGTGGCTTATGCCCTCCGTCCTCCTACAATATTTGGAAGATTCCTCTTTTGAAATGATTCCCTGTTCAAATCTAAAATGCTCCTGTGGTCAACTTATTGTAAAACAGTGTAGCATTCGAGAGACATATAAACGACCTGTGAGATATGCGTTTGTTTTCCAGAACTAAAAACTATCCCCCAGGAAAGCGAGGAAGATTGAATTAGTTGGTCATAAGCCAAGGCCTATTCTTGAATGTTTAGCTTAGCAGCTAAATTTGTTTCTTGATAATATCAATCAATTCTTTAAAAAAAAAAAAATTCTATACTCCTCTAATCCATTTCAAATATCTTGTATCAATACTTAAAAAAGAAGAAATTGGAACCTAAAAGACAAAACAAAACAAAAAGAGTCCTGTCTGGTATAGCCTCTAACCTTGAAGTATTTGAATTGTTAAGGGGGGCTTTGATTCTTCTTTGTGTCATACCCTTAAGAAAATTAATGTTTTACATCTTTATTCACACCACATCTAAGTCCAAAATTTGCCATCTTTGTGATGTAACTCAAGTTTTAAATTCTCACAATTTTGGTCAATTTCATATTTCAGTATACAAAATGTCAGCAAATTTTCTTCCTTGTTAGAGGTTTTGGCCCTCAATCCATTAAACTCCCAAGATGTGCTTGTCAATTCTCCTCTCTTGCTGATACACATTTCCTCATTAGTTAGTTACAAGAATTTGGTGTTAGATCAAGATTACTACTTCTTCCTGATAAGTTTGAGTATTCTCATTACCTGTTTGCTGGATTATGTATGAGTCTCTTAGGGAGAAGTTGCAAGTAAATCACTTCAGGGAGTTAAAGGGTTAATAATGAGTCTTACCACTGGATCAGAGACAATTATTTTGTGAGAGTAAAATCTGACAAAGAGCAAATCTTGGAAATGTCATGTTTACAATAATCACCTATGGTAACGTTTTTTTTCTGTCATTTATAATTGAAGCAAATTTACTTATGGTTACATTCTCAAACAGTATAGCTTCAGTGTACTTGTAATGATAATAATTTTTATACTTATAATAATAATATTAATAATAATTATAAAAGGACTAACATCATTAATTGACTACTCACCTAATACGACTTTTCAGGGCTAGTAAAAATAAAATGAAACAAATATTGCCAATGGACAAAGTGTTTAATGCTTAATACCCTAATATCAGTATGTATATTCTCCATAATGTTCTCTGTACCTTTTCTAATGTGCTAAAAAGGAGAATTTTTTAACAATCAAGAGCCTTTTTAGTGGGAAATCACTTCCTAATTATACACGTGACCCTAATTTGTGATTTAGGGGTGATACTCTATGCCTCTCCTAAGGTGCTGGCAAGGAGGATTTTTTAACAACCAAGACCTTTTTTAGTGGGAAATTATTTCCTAAATATACTTGTGACCTTAATCTCAGATTCAGGGGTGATACTCTATAGCTCTCTGAAGATGCTGGCAAAGAGAATTTTTTAACCATCAAGAGCTTTCTTAGTGGGAAATAATTTCCTAAATATACTTGTGACCTTAATTTCAGATTCAGGGGTGATACTCCACAGCTCTCTTAAGGTGCTGATAAGAAGAATTTTTTTAACAGTCAAGAGCTTTTTCAGTTGGGAATCATTTCCTAAATATACTTGTGACCTCTGATGGTGATACTCTAAACCTCTCTTAAGGTGCTGACAAGGGGAATATTTTAACAATCAAGAGCTTTTTTTTAGTGGGAAATCCTTTCCAGAATATACATGCAACCTTAATTTGAGATTCAGGGCTGATATTGTAAGGAAAGTTAAAAGATTATCACTCTTAGGGGTGAAATGGTTACTAATTCAAACTTGCCGAAGGCAGACCAGTTGGTTATATACGAAGCAAAGACAAGAAGCTGAACTCAGGGCAACTGAGATCAGAATAAATCCCATGATCAACAGGGTGGAGGGCTTGGACCTGTGATGCCAGATCTCAAGCCTAGTGCTGCAACCACTTGGTCACACTGCCTCCACAACTTTTAATTTGTCATGTGTAACTTTGCCTTTTAGAACAAAGAAACTTTCACAACCAGATAAGTCTGTGTGGTGTCCAAGACCGTATACAATCTTCAAACTGCTACTGTCAGCAAGATTCTGTTCGGCATTTCTGAGTAACATATCAGACTGTGATGAGACCTTCAACTACTGGGAACCTGTGAGTAATAGTGAAGCTTTGTTCTTTGATCACTAGTATTAAACCTTAATAACTCCCAAGATCTGATTGTTAATTCTCCCCTGTATATGACACACAATTCCATGTAAATAAGTTACGAGAATTGAGTGTTAGATCATGATAACAACTTCTTCCTGATAAGTTTGAGTATTCTTATTACCTGGTGGCTGGCTAATGTAGGGATATTATTGGGGAAAGGTACAGGTTAATCACTTCAGGGAGTTAAAGGGTCAAATACAACATGTATGTATGAAGGGGGTAAGTTTCTAAAGAAACTGTGGTGCTGTGTGAATGGGGGGTGTAACAAGATTATTTGGTTTCATCAATAGAGTTGATAATGTGAATTAGCCATCACAAGGAGTCTTTTAAAGCTAGCATTTCTAGGATTAGTTCTTTACCAGAGTGAAACGTCAGGACAAAGGAGTAACACTTGAACTGTCAGCTTTCGAAACTCTTTAAGGCAACCAATTCATGTCGTGAATTCAGTTGATTAAACCAAATTGTCTTGTATGTAATTCTATGTATTCTTTATTGATCACTCCCCAAAATGGGGTTTTTCAGGGCCAATAAGAACGAATCATTTTGAATAAATGTAGTGTTTGACCCTTTCACTCCCAAGATCTCATCAATAATTCTCCTTACTGTCTGCCATACAATTTGTATGATGTTAGTTCTGAGAATTTGGTATTGAGTCAACTAATAGTCCCCTAACTGATATTTTTCTTTATTTTCATCACTTTTCTGTTTGATATTGTATTGATTTGGTGAGGAAAAATTCTTTCTTGGTCACTCATGGGAGTTAAAGGGTTAAAAACCTCAGTCAGTTGGTTGGAGGCAGGCAAGTGACGGGTAGCTTCATACAAAGCTACAAGCAAGGAGTTGAACTCAGGACAACTGAGACCAAATCCAGTGAGAAGCAGAGTGAAGGGCCTGAATTCAGGACCCCTAGATTACAAGCCCATTCTCTTTATTATGATATTTTTGAGCTTTTGATGTGCGACAAATTGTACAATTTTTCATAACTAATTTCAAACAAGGAAAGCACGGAGCTGTATCAGTGGGCTACTGAAACAACTGTTTGGTAGCTGGTATTAGCAACATTGTGATAAAGATTGTTGAATATATTGCTATAACAAATTTTGGAAAGGGGATTTTAGAGCATCAATTAAATATCAGATTTTCAAAATTTGTTGAAGTTGTTTTCCTCCCTATTTTATGTTATGGTTGATAACCAACCAGTGCTTTCAAACCACATTCATTTGCAAAATTCACAGACATATTTTACTCTTGCAAAGTGTTTATTTAATATTTAAAATTGGTCCATGGGCTTGCTTCTATTTAAACCAATGAACTAAATAATGTTTTGAAATTAAGAGATCCTCGCAGCTAAGAACACTACTGAAACGAGTAGTTGTAAATAGGACCTGAAAAAAATTCAGGCCCGTACGGGATTTGAACCCATGACCTCTGCGATACCGGTGCAGCGCTCTACCAATTGAGCTAACAAGCTCATTTGTTAGCTCATTTGTTTAGCTCATTGAGCTAACAAGCTCATTTGTAAAAAAAGTAAGTATAGGGTATGTTGATGAAACATTCTCTAGTTGTGGCAGTTCTTGGTGTTTTTTCATAAAGTGATTTGTATACTCCAAAACGTATTTGCAATTCCACATCAACAATCAAATAGTACAGGATTGAAACATTAAACCAATCTTATCACCTGTGTTGAGAATCACATGAATCTGTCAATAATAGTCCAATTTACAGTTATGTGCTTGGTTGCTTTTAACAGGAGTGAGGCTAAGGGTGAACTAATTATGATACAAACCTTGCTGTTTTTCAAATGTAAATTTCGTATGTTATCATGCTCTCTAAGATACTGGTCTGTATCACAACAAGGTCAACTTCAGCCTCACTCCAAATCAAAGGCTTGGCAATTAAGTACACAACTTTAAAATGGCCTATTCTTACAGTCTTGCTTGTTTTACTAACATTCATCATTGATGGTTGTTTTAGATGCACTTTCTGATGTTTGGTTCTGGTTTTCAAACCTGGGAATATTCACCAAAGTACGCCATTAGGTCCTATGCTTATCTGTTGTTACACACTGTTCCTGGGAAACTACAGATCCAAGTGTTTGAAGCAAACAAGGTAAGTTTTCTTTCAGTGCAGCATTTTTGAT